GGCACCGTCCGGAGCCCACACGGGACCTGTTAGGTACCCTACGGGCCCTTTATGGGCTTTCTATGGCCTAACGGTCAGATGAAAACGCCGGTAATATTGGGAGCAGCCAACTCAGCACCACGGTGCCCGTACGGCTTAAAAAACTGTCACAGCGCCCGTAGGAACTTTATGGCAACCGGCCGGACACCGGCCCAAAATTCCCAAAATTTCCGTTTTTACTCGCCGTACGGGCCCCGGAGTGTATATGTGGAAGCCCCATAACTCCCCACGAAACTAAATCGGAACCCGTGAATCCGTACGAAAATCTCACGGCCGCCTTCTGCCTCCCCATGGAGGCCGCACGGAAAAGGGGATACGGGCAGGATACGGGCCCTGTAGACTAATCGCAAGCGAAATGTAATCCAGGCATTAGGGGTCATGTGCACATGAAAGTCCAGAGTTATGAATACCTTTAACACATTAATAGCAAATTCATGTTTATGGGTACTATTAATTTTCAGTGTTAGTAGGAGTAGGACCTATCAATGCAAACAGGTTGGAAGCCCTATAAAGAATACATTTAGAATTTTAAAGAAAATGACTTTTACTAAATTCTCCTGTCCATAGAAACTTTGGTATGTTCCTCTTTTTCAAAAAGATAAGAAATGCATTTAAAAATTAAATATATTCATTAATTTTTGTTGAGGATGTCATTATGAATATAACTATGTGATTAATGGAATTTGTATGAAATGTAAGAATAGTCTGAAATTAGTCAATAAAACATATATGCATGTATTGATGAACTGCTTAAAGGGATCCGGTAACTTTGTCACAGATTCTGAAACAAAATTCTGGATTTAGCTCATGATGCAATGATAATTAGAAACCTTAAGGTCAGTCAGGAACCCCATGACTTTTACAAGCCGATCGCCTGTCTGATTATCAAGATATTTATGATTGGAATTACAAATTTTGAACACCGTTCGCCTGACGGTTTTCATAACACTACAGTCGATTGGGGAAAACGAGTATGGTAAAACCGGTCACTCAAAGATTTTTAATGTTTTGAGGCACTTCTTGATCATTTTGAAGCGCGATTTTTGTAGGGCTTCAATATTACACCATATCACAGACACTGGTAACATGTAGGACCGTGTATCTCAGATTTGACATTGTTAAACGATCCCTTTAAGGGTCGTTTTACAATCAGGGTACACACTTTGTCTCACTTGGGGTGAAAAAAAAGTTCCATTGATTCTTCTGAATTTTTATTTGTGTGTTGTATTTAAGTTACTGGTAAAGTCTGAAAAATTTCAGGGCTACAAGTGTCAAACTTTTTTTTTCAAGCATTAAACCTGTCCTTAATTTAAAAAAATAGGGTCAAGTGTCACCTGATGACATTATGCAGAAAGAAAATATTTATTGTTTCTTTGGGTAAATGTGAATGACATAGTTTGATAGCTTGATGATATGGAGTCAGAATACAACTCAATTTTTCAAGTGCAAAATGGTTTTATTCATGTAAAATTCAGTTTTGCAATTTTTCCCCTCAACCCGTCCCCCCTTGAGTAAAAAAATAAATAAATAGGATTCTGGGTGACAAAATGGTATTTAAAAACATTCACCCCATTTGAGTGAGAAAATTGGGAACAAATAGGGATAATCGGGAAAATCGGGAAGAAAAAAATGTTTAAAAAAAAATCGGGAAAAAAATATTATTAAAAAAAAAATGGGAAGAAAAACCAAATCAGGAATTTCTTTTTTTTTTCAAGCGGGAAACTGATTTAAATCAGGTTATTGTCAGGCCTGATAGTTACAAGTTTTTAGGAATAGTTAACCACATAACAGTGTTTTGGAGATTTTACATCCTTTCCACTAACATTCTAAGAGGACATTATATTTTGACATATGATTGGTTTATGCTCGTAATCCATCTTTCTTTATAAAGACAACAATACTATGTGTGCAACTTAGATGTACAATCTTAGACAGAAGTTTTATGTCTCATGCCCCTTATATCACTCTGCCAACTAAACATCTAAACTGGCAGATATATGCCATACCATATACCAGGCCTACAATGTTCTCTCCAAAGTAGTTTTCTCTAAATGCAGCAGAGGACTTACTGAAAGTCCATCGCAATCATTGTATTGGAATTAAATAATGTGTCATTACCATGTTCTTTGTTTTTTGGAAATCATTTGCACAATGAATACAACTTTTGTTAAGAAACAAGTTATAACAACTGTTGCTTCTTTTTTGTAAGAAGCCTCTTACTTACTAACTTTTGAAGCTTATGAATGACAAGTAATTTTGAGCTTTGGTAAAGTGGATTGGTAAGACTATACAGTACTGAAACTGTGACATCATAAAAATGTATTTTTGGAATTTCTTAATTTTTCTTCATTTTCCGAAAGAGCATCAAAAATAATTTCCAAATGTTGAAAACCAATTGAATATGTTAAGTATCGGCTGAGATATGACCATCTGAAGAAATAGATGTCCTATAGGAACTCGGTGTCATATTGCTCTGGCTTGTAATGTTACTTCAAAATCAGTGTGAATATTAAACAAAAAACAATATTATCTATTGCACATAAAAAAAACAATGTTAGGCCTACTAATGACATAAGTTGGTTTCAAAATTTGGCTCTTCTTGAAGGAGTGCTGATAAAAAAATGTCACTTTTTCAGGGAGGACACTTTTTGTCACACCCCTGACAAACAAATTTGAAACGCGCATTTACCAAAAGTGTGGGTAAAGTTAATATAAATGATTTTGTAGGATATTAGTGATTCTTTTCAAGGAAGAAAACAAAAATAATTGAGTGCGGTCTTATTTTAACTTATAGCGCTGATTTTGGAAAGGACATTTTTTGACACATTTTGCACCTCATTTTTGGTGAAAGTTAAAATTTGTAGATTTTCCAAAATATTACATCCAATTCGGATCTTACAAAGAACCGTTGGAAGAGTTAATTCTGATAGTTGATAATGTTTTGGGGGTACGTATGTCTGATATGCACATGTTCAAACTTTGCGAAAAATGAAATGAGACAGCAAAAATGTGAAAAACGGCATATAATTACATATTTTGAAAAGTATTTGGTCCTTTCAAAAAAATTATTTGCTGTTATAGGTTGATCTAATGGTGCAAAATAGTTGACCAAGAAAAAAAATTCTTGGCTGTTTATTGTTTTGTTTTTAACGGCCATTAAGGTGAGTTTTTCTATTGTGTACCCTGATTGTAAAACAACCCTTAAATATATTCACAAACAATGCAGATCCAAAGCTCTAAAGCTTTGATGATTGATGACCAAGTGTCCCCACCAGCCTCATCACACCACCTTACAATATGCTTATATATCACAAACCTTTGAATAAGCATACATGCCTTGGCTGATATCAGAATTTATCTCATATGAAGTTATATTTTTTCCATGTTTCGCAATTTTAAATACTGTTCTTTTAATCTAAATACAGTCAAACCTGTCTATAGCGACCGCCCAAGGGAAACACAAAAAGTGGTCTTTGTAGACAGGTTGCTTTAGTACATGTTTCAATGAAAAACCATTTTCAAAGTGAACAAAACGTGGTCTTTATATACAGGTGGCCACTAAAGCAGGTTTGACTGTACCTTGTGTGTTTCTTTTAAAACCCGATATATCTACTTAGTAATCACAACAAATTTTGATTCTGATCGCTACTGCAATGAAAGTTTGGACTAGTCACAGAAGGTATAGGCATAGTATGTTAGCTGTAGTACATGCTGAAACAAACCCTTTTAAAAATGTGATCGTACCAAGATATCATTCAAAACTATAAGGGCATAATGAGAAAGACAACAACTACTCAAAATTGTTTTAAACAGATACATAACTTGGACAGAGCATTCAATAGTTTTTCCAAGAAATACCACAGAAATAAAGATATTTGAGGAATTACTAGGTCTATTTTGATCAGAATGGGCTTGCTATGAGGTTCTTACACATGTACTGTTCATGTTGATAACTACGCTTAAATCAACTCTACTACCCTCAGCGGTAAAAAGTAGTATGATTACAAACTAAATATCAACTTTTTAAAAAGCATGCAGTGTTTAGAGTAAGAAAAGAAAAATTGTTTTAAAAAAAATATTTGAGCTGTATGTTGTGTAGAAGAATTTTTAGAAAGCCATTTTGTTATTCCAACATTTTTTTTTAGCATGATTCTTTCATCCTGCATGAATCAAAATGGTGTGTCCCATATTCTATTTCTACTTTTACCACATATTTTGACACTTAAAGGCATGATATTGGTACTAAACATTGTCAAACATGGATATAATGAATATAATGTCAAATTGAATAATATACCAATCTGTGCCGAGATGCTCATGTGTTGATTGTTTTTCATTGTTAAGAAACGTTACTTATGATGGGCTTATTTTTTTCATCATCATACAATTTGGGGAAACAGGAACCTAATTTTTATGACCCGGGAGGGAGTCATATCGGAGACACAGTCACATTTATCCTCTTAAATCTGCATTGTGTACATTACATATGGGTAAATGTCTATTTTGGCTGTGCACTGTACTATCATTCTTGGCACTGCACAGTAACCCATGATTAAATTCTATACATTTATTATCAAAGATGCACAAGGTTCTAGACTGTTAAGTCAGGACAGATCTTGGAAAATAAATTATTCTCAAACATATTGCTTAGAGGAGAGGAGCCAGCTTCCATCCGACCCACCCCTTTTAGCAGAGCTGCCAACCATTACGTTTTTCCCGGAATTATTCTGTTCTTTTCCTCCAAATTACGTAATACCACCAACAACAAAAAACCCCAAAACTATAGGTCCAAAATATGGAAATAACAGCATGAAGAATGGACATTTCTGCATTAAAAGTTTGTCGCGTGTGGCTGTAAGTTTCGTTTTAATGAATTCCTTTTTTGTTGCTTAAAATTCCTTTTTTTTTGCCATCATGGTTCCTTTTTTTTTGGGGGGGGGGGGTTGCACAAGGTTGGCAGCTCTGCCTTTAGGTGTAGTTATGGGTCAAGAGCAGAAATTGGGAATTCAATAAATGTTATGAGATAATAAGGGTTTAATTGTAAGAGTAATGCTCTCCTGTTCTTTGATCCCCTAATACTATGAAAAAAAAACTATTAAAACAAATTCTAACAGGTATTTTTTTAAAACTTGATGTCGATACCAAATATCAACTACTACTGCTATAGGTAGTGGATACTACTACAGTAATACTACAGTAAAACTACCATTAATATTAGTATTACAGTTTTTATGCAATTGCAATATGTATTGGATCAATTTCTTTTTGAATTTTTCGTAAATCTACTGCGCAAAATGTTTCTTACTCTTCCTTTTTTTCTAATTCTTCATACTTCTTTTTATCTTTCTTATTTTCATTTTGTTTAAGTGACGTAACTTTAGATCTTGAGTGTATATATTCCCAAAGAAAATAGATTATTAGCAAGAATGAAATAGATCCACTTACTTGTTACTGATACAGAGTTAACAAGCAGTGTTGCTGTTCTATGTTACAGGATTGTTTTCCTCAGATCAGGAAGGGAAACTTCAGGTTCAATGGAGATGCTCAAGATGACTTGGACTCATTTCTTTACGCCCTCACATGTTTGCAAAGGTCAGTACAGTAAATGTGTTTTTTTTTAATCGATAACAGCATGTATACTTTTCATGTGCCTTTATAGAGCCTCTAATGGTATACTAAGAAAATATATAATTATGATATATACCACAGCAGGAAGCATGTGATAAAGTGACACTGTGTACCTTAAACAATTACAAATTTCTGGTCTGACAAAACTAAATATTCGGTTACAGCTTTATTGAAGAACAAATCCTACTGTAATGTGCTATCAACTTTAAATTTGTAGATTTGTTGGCATTCCTGGTTTTTCTTTGTGTGTGTTCTTGATATTTTTGTTACACTGTAGTCTCTTCCTTTTTTCTTCTTCTTCATTCACTGATCAAAATGTTTATTGAGACAGGTAATTTCAATAATACCAATAGTATTTGATTTTTTATCTCTCATCTTTCAAACAGATAATAAGAAAAAATGTGTTTCCTTTACAGCTTAAATGACTCAGATGGCTTGGACAGCTCAAGTGACTCAGATGAGTCGGAAAACTCAGCTGACTCGGGCAACTCAAATGACTCAGATGGCTTGGACATCTCAAGTGACCCAGATGAGTCGGAAAACTCAGCTCACTCGGGCAACTCAAATGACTCAGATGGCTTGGACAGCTCAAGTGACTCAGATGAGTCGGAAAACTCAGCTCACTCGGGCAACTCAAATGACTCAGATGGCTTGGACAGCTCAAGTGACTCAGATGAGTCGGAAAACTCAGCTGACTTGGGCAATTCAAATGAATTAAACAATTTGGCCGACTTGGTTTACTCAAATGACTCAGACAACTTGGCTGATTTGGGCAACTCAATTGACTCAGACAACTTGGTTGACTTGGGCCACCCAAACGTTACTAAGTTTACTAAGTCATGTAGGCCAGATTCTTCCAGTCAGATATCACATTTAACCAACTTTTCATCTCTGATCCAAAGTACAAGCAGTACCGGTAGTGATAAAGACTTTCATGTTGGCAATACATCGAACACTGTATATCAATTGTCCCAGACAGACAGAGAAGGTAGCAGCAGTCGGAGCAGGCCTTATAAGAGGAAAGCTCCTTGTACTCGTTCAAGAGTTCCACAGGATGGTCCTGAAATCCCAGAGAAGCAATCAAAGTATGAAATCTAGTTTTTATGGTATCGTAGATTAAGACATTATTCCTCTTTTAACACTTCATCAAGAATGTGTGTACGTATTATACAGGGCTCCACACTAACTATTTATGGGGAAAAGAGGTCCAGATTTAACTTTTACAGTCTGTATGCATGAACCCTAAGTAAAAACTTCCAAATTCGGAGGGTCCAGACCTAGATTTTTGCCGGTCCATGTGTCCCGGCTGCGAATTTGCGATTCCCAAACCATTCAGCTATGGGAAACGTTTTGAGCAATGTGATTGGTTTAAAAAGTTATAAAGACACGCCCACATCGACGCGAGCCATCTCATCATGGCGGTGCGAAAGAGTCTGGGGCCAAGTCCGAGTGAACCATCAAATCTTCAAAATGATTTTCCAAATCTGCATGTAAGTAGATATTTAGACCCTGTATTTAATTAATTTATTATAAAGTCGCCATGATCAGATCCGTGTCTATGACTTTTGGAATGATGTTTGCATGAATGGTCTGCACATAAACAATGGATAACAGTGGGCCTGTATGAACTTTATGAGTCTAGATGTCTATGTATAAATGAGAGCTTGAGTCTGAGAGGAAAAAAAGGGTTGCAGAGAGGCCCAGCAGTTGTTCTAATAATCAGAGTATGATGAAAGGATTAGGCATTACACATTCCTACGCTATGTTGTTAAGTACAATGCACTTCACACGCGAGCTAGCTACAGACACGTACAGGCTCACTGTTATCCATTGTTTATGTGCAGCCCATTCATGCAAACATCATTCCAAAAGTCATAGACACGGATCTGATCATGTCGACTTTATAATAAAATAATTAAATACAGGGTCTAAATATCTACTTACATGCAGATTTGGAAAATCATTTTTGAAGATTTGATGGTTCACTCGGACTTGGCCCCAGACACATTCGCACCGCCATGATGAGATGGCTCGCGTCGATGTGGGCGTGTCTCTATAACTTTTTTAACCAATCACGTTGCTCAAAATGTTTCCCATAACTGAATGGTTTGGGAATCGCAAATTCGCGTCCCGGCTAGTTTGCTGGTTTTTGGTCCTGGACTCATAGCTATATATTTGGGGTAAAAAGGGGTAATTTTCGGCAATGTTTGCAAACGTTTGAATATTTGTAAAAAGGAAGTTTTCATCTTTTTCACCTAAATGATGATTACAGTCCACTATTTGGTGTTAGTATATACATTTCACGAGAAAGGGATCATAATAATGTCACAATGCTCGAAAGCATGTGAATGGCCTATGTAGAAGGTAATGCAAAAATTAAGATACGTTTTGTGAATGTGGACTCATATGTGTATGCAGTGATGTACCAAGTATAAGTGTATCGTTGGCTTTTACCATTTTGTTTCAGGAGATTTGCATGCAAGGTATGAAATATCACTCAACTCTCACAAAGTTAGCTATGTCATATATGTAATTATCTTATCAAAATGTCACTATATTTGTCAATCTCATTGCACATGTTCAATAAAAATATGATTTGAGAATCTGTTACCAGAAATGACCCGGATGTTTAAAGCCATATTGCTCTAGGTATCATGGCAGCGAACTTCAAATAATTCAATATGTTAGTTAAGAACTAACTTTGTCTTTGTTATTGCTTGTACATGTGTATTAAACTACATTCACCAGTTCTATATAATAAATCCATTTCGAGAAATATTTTCTAGCATTTTCTTTACATCACTCCAGTGTATATGTAAATATGCTGCTATCATTTTAAGATACATGTCTCTTTTGTCGATGTAACATGCCTGAGGTTTTAATGTAATATTTCATTTGAAATAGATTATTGTTTCTACATAATTAACTACATTCATCAGTACTATGTTATAAATTCAGTTGAGGAACTGTTTTCCAGGATTTTCTTTACATCATTCTAGCGTACATGTAAATATGTTGCTATAATTGTACGATGCATGTTTATTCTTTTTGTATTCAGTACTGGATTTCAATAATGTTGATGATATATATACTCCAGGCCTTTCTTTGCATCATTATGATCATGATTATGCAATGGTATGATACATGTATATTTTGAACTTGTATATGTTTGCCATACTTGCCTTTTATATACGTTTTATATTGTAGTGAGTTTGCATTCCTGATTGGCTTATAAGATGCAACATAGACAGTACTCTTATGAGCATTCTGTTACCTTGCCTTTTGATCACCATCCTCTTCTGATTAAGTGATGTCATTTTTATAATCCACTCTGATTTTCATAATAGACAATGCAAATCGAACTAAAACAGGTATGTATAATGGATGATCATGGATTACTGACATGAACTTTGCAGTGCCTTAGATATTTTAACATTTTGATGAAAAAAGGAGGCAAAAGATTGTGCTAGTTGTAGTTTGATGGTGGTGTATTTGTGAGTATCATAATAGCTGAAATGGTGTCATGTGACACATTTATTTTATATTGACTGGACTTGAGGGGAACATCAGAAATACTGACCAAGCAAAGACCATATCGCCCCGAGTAGGAGGGCAATAGGGTCTCAGCGTGGTCAATATTTCTGATGTATCCCCGACAGAAGACCTGTCAATGTGATTATTATTACCTATACAAGGCATTATTTTTTACAAAAGATATACACCTTTGGTATCAAGCATGATTTTTACTCGCGTCTGTTTGCCGGTCCCTCGATTTCAGGTTATTCTGGCAGGTATGTAATTGTGACGTTAGTTGTTACCGCGCAAAAACTTTAAAGCCTACACTGGCAAAGCGCACTGACAAGAATGGAATATGTCAGAATATTGCCCTTTAATTTAGTACAGTGGTCTACGGAGAAAATCCGGAAGACATAGATTTCATACATGTATCTAAATTATCAATCAAATGATCTAGCCACACTATTTCAATAGCACTGAGTGTATTATTTTAAAAAATGATGTTAGATAAGTAATAACATGCATTAATAACTAGGTAAGTAACTACTATAAATAATTATATCAAAGATGATAATAATGATAATATATGTAATAATTATAAAGCTCATGTTGATAACCTTTCTGATGGAATTGATTGTAAGGATGACCATACAGCTCGAGTATTTTGTATATTATGTATGTATTTTGTCTCATTATGTGTATGTTAATATTGTATTGTACCAAACAGTGGAAATCAAATTTTCTGATATGGACATAACATCATATACTTATACACTTTATACTAATAATATGTCATAAGAAGTCATGATTCTAAGGTGAATAAAAAAGGAAGATTTAAATGTACCTTCTGTATCACTGATCTCTTTGTCCGATGTGAAATCTAGGAGAGACATGGGAAAACGAACTTGAAGGGAGAGAGAGAGAGAGAGAGGGGGGAAGGGGGAGCTATAGGGAGAAAGAGAGAGGGAGAGAGATCACAGAAACAGATGCACATTTAAACTTTAAAAGAGAGTGACCTAGAGAGAAAAATAGAGAGGAGCAAAAAGGGGAGATGCTAATAAAAAGAAAATAACACTTTAAAAAGTTGAGTGAGAGGGGAGATATTTTTTAAAGGGTGGATTGAATAGAAAATAGCCAGGGACAGAGCATGGAAAACGGTGATAGCTAGATGACTTTGGAGGGAGGCTGCATGAGAAGATAGAGTAAAAACGAAGGAGAGAACGGGGAGGGAGACAGATTGATTAATAGAGATAGATACCGGGATAAATGAATGGTAATGGGAGGGTGGATGAGAGAACGTGCACGAAAAACGTAATAGGGTGAAAAAGAGATAGAAACGTTAATGATTGTAGAGAGACTGAGAGGAAATGTAAGTTGAGGAATTTAGTGAGAGGAGCAGAAATATGTGAGATATGCCGGGGAAAATAAACAGAAACATGGAGGAATGGGACATGAGCTTCAGAGGGAGAGAAAAGAGACAATAATGGGGATGAGTAGAAAGATTGAGAGGAAGAAAGAGAGAACAAAATTGTGAGAGATACCATGAGAAATGAATGGAGTTGGATGAGAGAGAGAGAGGGAGAGAGAGCGCGCGAAGGGGAGAACCCTGTATTACAGAGAGATGAGAAGGAAGAGAAATATAGGGGGAGCCTGGCAGAAATTGGGGAACCGTACCGGGACTGAAAATATAAACTAACAAGTGGAGAATGAGAGAGAGAGAGAGAGAGAACGAGAGAGGAAGGTAAAAGAGATGATTAGAGACCGAGAAGATAGATAGGAAGAGAAAGAGAGAGAGAGAGGGGGAAGAGAGTGACCCGTAGTGAAAGAGAAAGTAAGAGAGAGAGAGAGAGAGAGAGAGAAAGAAAACAAAAGAGACAGAGAAGCAGTCAGTGGCATTATTTAATAAATGAGCGTTCTATATTTGTTTTCATCTTTAACCCTCAATTCACAGAAAATTTCACTGACGGGTAATCTTCCTTCAGACCTTCGAGATAGGCTGCATAGCCCTCTAAAGGCCCCCCAACCAAAACAGGCTAAAAAAAATGGAGGAAAAGGACATGTAGAATAATTTTCGACGGAGATTCTGAACATGACAATGATTTTTCTTAGAAATCATCAATAATTCTGGAATCTAGTTTTAAGGATGACGACTCAGACCGCTCAGAAAAAAAAAACCCAGTTTCGAAGTTGTATTGCGCAACTGTTTATGACGTCACTGCAGGAGCCTTTCTTGTGATAAGGAGGGTGATTTAAGCATCAAATGTCTTTAAAAAGGCAAACTATGATATTAATTAGGGAAAAAAGACATTTATCCGAAAAATAGTATGCACTTGATAATCCCAGTACGTTTCGTTTATGAATTACAATGATATTGCAAGATTCTTAGTTCTAGGACAAATCGGAGATGCCCGCAATGTCGTCAAATGCGTCATCAAGGCCACGTGACCGTATTACCCTTTTTTTCGAGGGGCGTAGCTCAGCAAGCGTGAGAACTGTGAAAAATGGATGGTTATTATCATTTTTTGGTCAATACAGAGCTTTTCTGAAAAATGAGAGGCTGGAATATTAATAAGTAGAGGTGTATTAATGTTTTAAAAGGCTATGTCAGTTGGGTTAGAGTGGCCCTTTAATTAACAGAAGAATTGGAAGAAGAAGAGCATGCAACCAAAGGCGTATACGGAAAAAACCAGTAGTTCCGACAAATAATTTCCCCTTAATTCTGAGATTTACCGATTAATATTATTGAAACATGTGATTGAACAATAGACACCCAGATAACTTAAGCTCACTGCATCGTTAAAAATTATGAGCCATTAAAATTATCTTGAAATTATTAATATTTCTCTCCACATTTCGCAGTTTCCTTCCTAGCCATTATTGGGCTAGCTCGCCATTTTGATTTTGATAATAGTAGTACAACTTGT